GTTTTGACCATTGTACACTATGGCCTTCTTCAGTATATGTTTATATTTCTGAGATGAGGTATTGAAATTATTTAAACTATTTACATTGTTTGGAATATTGTCCTCATCTATCTTACCATCTTCATGATGTTTCGACCATTGTACACTATGGCCTTCTTCAGTATATGTTTATATTTCTGAGATGAGATATTGTAATTATTTACACTATTTATATTGTTTGGAATATTGTCCTCATCTATCTTACCATCTTCATGATGTTTCGACCATTGTACACTATGGCCTTCTTCAGTATATGTTTATATTTCTGAGATGAGATATTGTAATTATTTACACTATTTATATTGTTTGGAATATTGTCCTCATCTATCTTACCATCTTCATGATGTTTCGACCATTGTACACTATGGCCTTCTTCAGTATATGTTTATATTTCTGAGATGAGATATTGTAATTATTTACACTATTTATATTGTTTGGAATATTGTCCTCATCTATCTTACCATCTTCATGATGTTTCGACCATTGTACACTATGGCCTTCTTCAGTATATGTTTATATTTCTGAGATGAGATATTGTAATTATTTACACTATTTATATTGTTTGGAATATTGTCCTCATCTATCTTACCATATTCATGATGTTTCGACCATTGTACACTATGGCCTTCTTCAGTATATGTTTATATTTCTGAGATGAGATATTGTAATTATTTACACTATTTATATTGTTTGGAATATTGTCCTCATCTATCTTACCATATTCATGATGTTTCGACCATTGTACACTATGGCCTTCTTCAGTATATGTTTATATTTCTGAGATGAGATATTGTAATTATTTACACTATATTGTTTGGAATATTGTCCTCATCTATCTTACCATATTCATGATGTTTCGACCATTGTACACTATGGCCTTCTTCAGTATATGTTTATATTTCTGAGATGAGATATTGTAATTATTTACACTATTTATATTGTTTGAATATTGTCCTCATCTATCTTACCATATTCATGATGTTTCGACCATTGTACACTATGGCCTTCTTCAGTATATGTTTATATTTCTGAGATGAGATATTGTAATTATTTACACTATTTATATTGTTTGGAATATTGTCCTCATCTATCTTACCATCTTCATGATGTTTCGACCATTGTACACTATGGCCTTCTTCAGTATATGTTTATATTTCTGAGATGAGATATTGTAATTATTTACACTATTTATATTGTTTGGAATATTGTCCTCATCTATCTTACCATCTTCATGATGTTTCGACCATTGTACACTATGGCCTTCTTCAGTATATGTTTATATTTCTGAGATGAGATATTGTAATTATTTACACTATTTATATTGTTTGGAATATTGTCCTCATCTATCTTACCATCTTCATGATGTTTCGACCATTGTACACTATGGCCTTCTTCAGTATATGTTTATATTTCTGAGATGAGATATTGTAATTATTTACACTATTTATATTGTTTGGAATATTGTCCTCATCTATCTTACCATCTTCATGATGTTTCGACCATTGTACACTATGGCCTTCTTCAGTATATGTTTATATTTCTGAGATGAGATATTGTAATTATTTACACTATTTATATTGTTTGGAATATTGTCCTCATCTATCTTACCATATTCATGATGTTTCAACCATTGTACACTATGGCCTTCTTCAGTATATGTTTATATTTCTGAGATGAGATATTGTAATTATTTACACTATTTATATTGTTTGGAATATTGTCCTCATCTATCTTACCATATTCATGATGTTTCGACCATTGTACACTATGGCCTTCTTCAGTATATGTTTATATTTCTGAGATGAGATATTGTAATTATTTACACTATTTACATTGTTTGGAATATTGTCCTCATCTATCTTACCATATTCATGATGTTTCGACCATTGTACACTATGGCCTTCTTCAGTATATGTTTATATTTCTGAGATGAGATATTGTAATTATTTACACTATTTACATTGTTTGGACTGTTGTCATATTCACAACATTTTGACTTTTGAACACTCCTGCCTTTTTCAGATGATTGGAAATTCTTCAGGTGGTTCGAAATTCCAATCACCTGAAGAAGATACAATGGCCAGAATGTGAATATGGCAACAAAGATGAGGACAACAGTTCAAACATTTTAAATGGGGTAAATAATTCAATGAAGACATTTTCTATGGTTTTTCCTCATTTTTTCTGCTGATAAGGAATTCATTTTTTTATTGTATTTTTGATCTTCAGTAAATGCTCAATATGCATGGCCTTGTGACAGAATAGGCTTTGTAAAAAATACCCTTTCTTGAAGAAAAATATAAATTCTTTCAATTTCCTTTGTTCTACTGAAATAAATTTGATCTTCACTTGATGCTCAATATCTGTGGCCTTCTGCCAGACTAGGCTTTGTAAAATAAATTCCCTTTCTTGAACAATTTTTTAAATTTCCTTCATTCTACTGAAAGAAATTTGATTTTCTCTAGATGCTCAAAATATGTGGCCTTTTACCACATTAATCTTTTCAAATATCTCAATGAAGACATATTTTTGCTATTTCCATCTCACTTCATTTTACAAGTGAGGAATTTTCAGCTGTTCAGTGTCCAGAATATTTATTTACTAATTTGGTTTGTTTTGGATTTTCTTTTATTTCCAAATTAATTGTTAAAGAGAAAAATATTGACCAAATGTTATCCATTTGGAATTTTACCTGACAAACATTGTAATGACGGCACCAAAAATTGACTGGTAATCAAATCAGAATTTACTAAATTATTTTACATCGCCAGAATATATTCTTCAAAATGTATTAATCCAAGAATTTATTATTTTCTAAAAATATTCAAATGAAAAATTCAGTTATCTGGATTCTCTTAATTAACCCTCACTAAAAGCAAAGACCTGAACATATCTCCTGGCATTCTTAAAGATGAATTAGATTAAACAAATTATATTTGTGATTTAAGGAGTCTTTGATATGAATACAGATTATCACAAATCTGGTTTAATCCTTTGTCTATATTTATGGGACAGATTAACTGACATTTACAAGAAATGTATTGACAATATTAGTGGTCAATATATATATATATATATATATATATATATATATATATGAATATATATGAATTTCCAAATGGATAGAATCCAGGTAGAGCTCAATGTCCAGGACAGAGCAAGAATATAATATAAAAGGCTCAAACTCTAA